AGCAGAGGATAAGGAAGAGGTTAGGCCACAAACAGGGCACTCCAGCCACAGGTCAATCCCTCAGCGGGTGGGGGGCTCAAGATTGGGATTTTTTGCAAGGCTAAGCAACCTATTCTCGGGGACTAAGGAGTTGAAAACCCTCTGAGGTACAATTTAAGCAGCTAGAAACCACTTCCACAGCAACTGCAAGAATGCTGGACACCATGACGACAAAATGGATAGCTGATAGTTGGAGAAATACCTCAAATGTCCCCTCTGTGGGTACGTTTGTAGTCAAAATCACGGTCTCCTATTTTTTCCCCTTCACAGACCCCTGACCAAATGAAACAAGCCTATGATGCAATGTGGGGTAATATGAGGGCCAATCTCAAACACTGTCTCTGCAGGTTGCTTCGTGCAAAAGGTCAAGTTTGGTATGTGACCACGAATAAAACAGGAGCATGGCTCATGGTTATATTGAGGTAGGTTAGTCAAATAACACCTTGCATTGGGTTTTACTGGTGAAAGGGGGAAAGGGCCGGAATTATCAGCACAGCTGGTATGTGACCTTTCCTTGGCAAGCCACCCATTAATCTACAGAGGTGAGATCAGGGCAGGGTGAGAGGTTACAGAGTGACAGGCAAGATAAAAGGGTTGACATTTTCCGCATTCGCTTCAAATATCACTTATCAGCAGCTTATTTTCTTGTTGTGGAGATGTTTATCTTCATGTTAGAGCATTGGAAAAAACTTGTAAGTAAGTTAGACTTCAAGTAGTTGAATTGTGGTATTAGAGCAAGAGACAATAAAAAATGCATCAATGAGCCACATGGTTGTACTAACTGACATGTTACTTTATAACCAGCTTATTGTGACTCAACCCCACATACACCATCCTGCTGCTGTAAACTCACTCCAGCCAGCCCAGCCGCCAGAAGAAAATGTTTGCATTGTACGTCTCTGCCAACGCTGAATATGTTACATTTGCATGATTTATACGTATCATATAAACAATCCTAAAGTGATGTAATATATGAGCTGACTTTGTCATCAGGTCGTGAACGGGATAGTGGAACTGGTTGTAATTTAGCAAGTCATTAATGTGTTTCTTTTTAAACATCGGCATGATACACCTCCAGTTGCCATTATAGTTTAACAGCACCCGGCGGCATCAGGGAGAACACGGCGAGACAAGATGAAAGTTAAGGTGGAGAAAGTCCGACCGGAGCAGGCGGGAGGGGAGGTGGATGGGTCCAAGAAACATTGACTTTAACCCAAGAGAGCGATGTTCACGTCCTGTAACATTCTAAAGCCAAACACTGTTCTTTTTTCCTAAACCCAGCCACATGCTTTTGTTGCCTAAACCCAACCATGTTTGTTTGTTGATGAAGGAAAACAAAAGTCAATTTGCGAAAATGGAAGTGTATCTTGAATGAAGAGAACTTGACAGTGTCCCAGAACGTCAACAACCAACGCACCAAGGTACCCTTGGTACCCTTGGTGCGTTGGTATGTGGTCAGGGAAAGTCCGTGACCAAAATGTCAATATGTGATGAGGTCAGAGTGGGAATGTGTTGGTGTCCAGCAGCTTTTAAGGCACCAAACATAGGTGTTTGTAGGGACTAATGGTGTTTTTCCATTTGCTTTTTAGACACCAACCATAAGGGTGTTGTAGCAACTCACTGCTGTCTTTCCAGTGGCTTTTAAAGTCCCTGCATCTGTGTTATGTAACAACCCGTCACCGTTTTTCTAGTGAAGATATTGCCATGAAAGCAGTTGTCTTTTACCAAGACATTGCTGCTTTCCTGCCATGATTGTGCCCTAAAACCGAGTTTTTTTAAGCCAAGACATGATCTTTTCATAACCATAACTGTGTGGTTTTTGTAAACCAAACCACACATTGTGCTCGACTATTTCTTGGCCTTGTACAGTTAGTATTGACTTCTACTTCAGTGGAGAATATCTGTCTGCCAATTCATACAGCAGAGCCAAACACAAAGCAGCATTTGATTGATAGAGTATTAATAAAAAAGTGTGTAAATTAATTATCAGAGTGAAAAACCAAAGAGGCTTATGATTTTTCAGTCCTTCATGAGAAAAGAGAAATCCAATGCATCTTTCATACCCACGCTTCAGTGAAGGAGGAACAAGGAGATTGAGTAATTGTGTAAGGTAAAGGTTAATCTGCTGTGTTTTCCCACATAAAGAGAGCACAGAAAAGCGTAACACATCTGCCGGCGTAGGAAACACCAGATCGGCTGGGTGGAATCTATTCGGGAAGACAAATGACTGCAACAGAAGCAATTTGATGTCTGACCCTTTGAGTGATGTGTCACATTGTGCAACTGCCCTGTGATCTCTAATATACAGAGACTTTAATGGATCCTGAAAGTGTGGATACACTGATCTATAACCTGAGAGACTGCATGTGAGAAAGACACCTAGTAAGTATCCAGAGATTTATTCCCTGAGGGGGAAGAAACAACACAATACCACAAGTAGAGTGATGATGGGAAAACTACATTTGAGACATCCCAATAAGAGGGCCAATGCAATTCTTACATAATTACTGTTAAAGTAATGGGATCATTAGTGACAAGTATAGAAGCTTAATTTGAGTTTTTATTCATATAGAACTAATAACTATTTGTATTTACTGGTAAAATTAGAGCAACTATGTACCAACAGCTTTTTCTCTGATACAAAATAAGCCATCATTGAGTGCAATAGTATCAGTGGAAAGACATGGGATCAATTTTAAAGTCCTATAGTATTTGAAAATGTCGTACTTCGGTGACTACTAGTGGCAGTATCAAAATATAAACAATATTCTAGATACTAGATACATACCCATGTCCAAAATCATTGTGAAAATGTAATAAAACTCCCCTAATGCATTTTTCAAAAAAAAAACATCAGAACGGCTCATCCATCGTAATCCAAGTGCCCTGAAGCTGTGGCATGCAAAATTGACTTGAAAAGACATAATTTACTCCACTTTTATAGCATAATTTCTCACCATGGTCAGTTAGCCTGCAGGCGTGCTGTGTTTACATGGCAACTCACGAGACTCGAGAACAAGAACGACGGATTACGATGGACGAGCCGTTCTGACGTTTTTGAAATGCATTAGCGGAGTTTTATTACATTTTCAAAATGTGGGTTCCATGCACTTCAAGTGTATGGAAGAATCTGGCTAGCTGTTATCCTGTGATACCCCTAACGAGTTTTGTGGATTAAAAAACTACACTGGACTTCTTGGCAGCATGAGGGTGAGTAAGTACTGTCTGTATTTTCATTCTAAAGTGGTCATTTCCTTTAAGTACAGTGAAGTCCAATGCAGAGCTTTTATTTTGAAGTGCAGTTTCCTGCTGTAGAGTGAGTGACTAACAGACAGCTACCTGATAGAGACAGCTAACTAGCCTGACTAATTGGCCAAACGCAAGTATGACGTTGTATTACACTGTGTGGACCTTGAACTAATTACTAAGGAGAAATCTGGACCTTGTGGCTGGACCAGTTGGGAACCACTGCTCTAAACCAAGTGTGTTATAACCACCTACCTATTTACACGTGTAGCAGACATGGAACATTACCATTTATCTAAAGTCATTTAAAGAATAAATGTTGGCATTGTGAGTTTCTGCAAACCACAGACATGTAACATTTTTATGTTATGTAGCGCCTGGATCTTCAGGGGTGTTGGGCAGGGGGCAAAAATTATTGTTTGATCGTTTTCTTAAAAGTTGATGCTGTGATTATGACTTCAAATACCCACTTTTGGTGGAAAAATCATGTCTTAAAATGTCCGGCCGGTATTGGCAGCACAATCCTGGCTGGAGATGCTGTTTATGTCTTGCTGAAACACCCTCTTTTAGTGTCGCAACCACAGCTGGAAATGCTGCCAGTGTTCATTTATTCATTTTCCATAACCGCTTATCCTGTTAGGGGTCACGGGGGGCTGGAGTCCATAACAGCTGAGATTGAGTGAGAGGCAGGGTACCACCTGGGCAGGTCACCAGACTATCACAGGGCTGACACATAGAGACAGACAACTATTCACGCTCACATTCACACCTACAGGCAATTTAGAGTCACCAGTTAACCTGCATGTCTTTGGACTGTGGGAGGAAGCTGGAGTACAGGCAGGCAGAGTACCCGGAGAAAACCCACACTGACACGGGAGAACATGCAAACTCCACACAGTGGGGCTCCCTGGAACCCTATTGCTGTGAGGCGGCAATTATAACCACTGCGCCACCATACCACCTGCTGCCAGTGTCTCACTATAGAACAACCAGTTTACTTGTTTGTTGGTCTCCAACTGTGGTCTGCAGTTTTGACCATTCACCCTCCGCTCCACCTCACAATGACAAAGTCAGTCATATGAAATGTAGCGACGTAATATATCCATGGTTTACAAAAATGTCCAATGCCAACATCTGGGCTGTTCTGTCCACTTAATGAATGTAAACCCAATCATCACTCTGCTTTGAGCTCTCATTTTGTCTCAGATTGCATAAAGCTCCACCATGTCCACCACTTAGTTGGTAACTATTTCTGTCAGCCATTATGGGCTGAGCAGGTAGTGCACTGTGGGTTTATCAGAGCTTTTTTGCTAAAAAAAAAAATGCAGCCTAGGAGGGTTGATGAGTGGAGTTTGTGGGTGAAAAACCAAAACAAGCTAAAAGATGCTAAAACTGTAGATTTAAGGGGAATTGCATAGTCAGGTGATAGTTCTCTGTGAGTTAAATTCATTTGGAGATACTGACTCAATCCACAAAAGAAAGGAACACTATAAAACTTCCCGGCACCATTATCAGTTCATTACAAAAACTCCTCTCTGGTCTGCACTCCTACACACACATAAACGCATTTTATCTTCCTGAAGACCTCCTCCTCCAACGTCTCCTCCTGACTGAAATGTTTATTTGAATGTGTCTCACTCCAGATTGGTCATCACCAGAACGCATTCAACACGGCAATTCAACTCATCATCACAGCCATCTTTGCCTCTATCCCAATTAAGCTTAATTACACATGAGGCAGCCGTCAAAACAAAAGCCACCGCTTCTTTAAATCATCTCCCCCTTTTTGAATTTTTTTTTTTGGAGTGAGGAAGGAAAACACACGAGGAGGAGAGAAAAAAAAAGCAGGCGAAGCCACTCTGTCACCAAAATATCCACACATACTGGCACGCAATCCGACACTCCCCTTCAACACGAGCACCAACACACAGACTGACTGACCAGCGCTGTCCAGCCGCCCTGAAGCGCAGAGCCTGCTGTGTGGATGTGTGCAGCCCCCTGGACTTGGTGGGAGGGGGAGAAGTTTCCCCAAAGACAAGCTTGGATCACTGAGAGAGAGAGACGATGCCTTCCTCCTCCTTCAGCCCAGTCTCACCAGCTGCTCAGTGGATTTGCTGATTTCCGAAATTAATTTTCTGCAAGTTATTCAACGGGACTGAGGGGAGATTTGAAAGCAGAGGATGCTCCCACAGGTCATTCGGATTCTGTATGTCTTGTCTTTCTGCTTTTTCCAAGGAGGCTTTATCAGGTGAGGCGCACTAACATTTTCATCCTCTGTGCGTGTTTGGGCGAGTGTTTCCTCTCTGAACTGCTTGACGTTAACTTTTCCACCATCAGAGTCGCACCACATCTCATTTCATTGACTTTTCACTATGTAGCTTTCTAGATAATTATGCGCTGTTTTTTTAAATTTATTTCGAAGGCAAATAAACGAGTTTAAGCTCCCTCCAACTAACTATCCATGTATCAGGTGTTGCTGCCATGATATAAAATGTAATTGCACAAGAAAAAAAGCCTCGTACAGAGCGTTAGATGCGAGCGGACGCATGATTTCATACAGATAATCCAGCATTTTACGCACAGCGCAAACTAGAATCTCTCATCACCAATTTACAATTTCACATCATGGTTGCAGTTTGTAAAGAGGCAGCGCATGCAAATTTAGTCACAAGCGCTCATGCAAACGATTTACTATGAAAATACAGCATCAGATATGAAACCTTGTTGTCTCAGTGTCCGGAGAAAACCTTTCCTGATCGCAAACTACCTGTGGAATTCCCGCTCGTATTGCATGATTGATTGGTGGCGTTGGGGGAGGTGAAAGGGTAACGTTAAGTGTGTGATATAATATTCATGGGGTGATTAACAATTTACCAGCAACATGTGGACAACGAGCTCACTGGGAAGCATCACAGTCCTTGTCATGCATGCACACAGAGAATGTGCATCTCTGATGTTTTCAGACACAGCAGGAAAAGTGTTTGGCACATGTGCAGAGTGGATTAAATTATTGTAAGAAAAAGGGGACAAGTTCCAGTCAGTGTGTATTCAGTGTCTGGGGACACAGGAAACAAAAACACCTCCCTCTCTCCCCTCTTTCCCCTTCTTTATTCTCTCAGTTTATCCAATCACACACCTCATGTCTCCCTTTCCTTATTCGCTCACTCAGATCATCTACCAGCAACCAAGTTCCCTTTTCTCTCCTCCTTCTATCCTTCCTTCCGTCCTCTGTCCTCTCTATCCTTCTTGGTGGCAAAAACTTTTATTTGCAGCGAACACTTTCCTTATTTCATGCCCTGCCAACCTCAGGTGTGAGCGAAAGGGAATTAAGATCTGCATAATCCTGGAGCGGAACAGAGCCGTGACTCCGTGAACCCAGGGGCGAGGAGAGCAGCTCTTAGCCTGGAGAGCAGTCAACTGACAGCACCTCCTCTCAGAAATTATATGCTCTTCTACCAGCCTCTCTGCTCGCCTTGTAGGGAGGTCGGGAGCGAGAGAGAGGAAAGGAAAGGAGCGAGGAGGAAGAGGAGGGCAGGTGTAAAAGGCAGGCAGAATCTGATAAAGGTGTGGAGAGGTAGAGGGGGAGAGATGGAGAGTGAAAATGGGAATGGAGCGAACTGGGATGGAGAGAAATGTGAACAAGAAATTGAGCAGGTGATTCATTTAGCTGGAGGCGGCGGGGAGATTAGTGAAGTGGAGGACGGGGCCGGGAGATGGAGAGAAATGGTTCAGATAGATGAGATGAAAAAAGGTGGGGGTGGGTGTGAGAGACAGGAAGTGTAAGAGATTTGAAAAAAAGATTGTCATGTAAAATAGTGCACAAGCTGGATTAGTGCTGTATGATGAGTTTCGAACTGGATGAAGTCGACAAAAGAAAATGAGAAAGAGGAGTGAAGGGTGTAATAAATAAAGTTCATATCATAGTCTGAGAGAGTGGTGGCTCAGGGTGGGGAGATCTGTGTGTGTGTGAGGAAGAGAGACTGTGTTGTGTCTTGTATTGTTGCAACACTTCAGGCCTGTTTGACCTGGACGTAAACTTGAAAAGAAAATCCAGAATCTGGTTTCCTGAACCTGTTCTGCCATGAAGTTTAGCTGCGTGTTGGTTTTAACACCATCTTATTAAGGCAGCTTTCAGGGGAGAAATACAAGACAAAATACATCTTAATTAGAGCATCTCCAAAGTAGTTGTTTTATGGCCAAAGTGTTATGTTGCATTGACCTTCATCGTTGCAGTGTGCAAAGGCTTGTTAGTCAAAATAGCTTAAAGTTTATTTTTTGCTCATTTTTCAGCTTTTTTTGTTCAACAGTGTATGTTTTTGGTGTCCTCATACAATGGTTTGTATATCATATAACGAATTAGCACCCAAAGAATGGCATTGCCACATTAGGCCCGTTTCCAAGTTGAAGAAGTTCCTGGTACTATTTGGGGGGCAGGAACTACTACAGGAACATCCTCTCGCTCGGCCCTCTCAACCGCCGCGTCTCCACTGAGAGAGCGGAGTAGGAGGAAGGTTCCTGTAAAGTTACCGGGCTCTGGATGTGATGTAATCGTTGCGTGACCATTTTGACCTGGGCGACGTAGTGGCGTAGGGACGCTGTTAGCTGTTAGCCGATAGCGGTGTCTGTAATAACTCACTAAACTCACAAAGTGGCCCGTGAAAAAAATATTTTTTCTAGCGGATGTCTTAGTTACAACATGATTGAGCTAATTGGAGTAGTTTCATGTCGTTTCCGACAACGGGAGGCTTTTAACAGATGACGTCCTGATGTTAGCTTTGCTGCTGCTGTTAGCTGTCCCTGTCAGCTGATGCTTTCTAGACATCGTGATTCCCCAAAACTGAATAAATACCACACATAGCAACACAAAACTGCTTTGCTAGCTCAATCATATTGTAGCTAAGATATCTGCCAGAAAAAATATGTTTTTCACGGACCAGTTATTGAGTTTGTTTACATGGAGGTGGAAGCTATGAACGAGCTAACCCTCATCTGCTGAGTTTTAAAAATGCCAACTATTTTATTGCTTTCTGTTGATGTCACATTCCGCCTTGAGTATATCCAATCAGCACCAAGTAAACCCCAAGCCCCAGCCAGGAGTTTCTTGGGGCCGTTCTGAGTACCTACCCCGAGGCAGGGACTTGTTTAGCCCCTGTAAAAGTTCCGGAACTCTGTCCTTCGGGGGTGGTTCCTGCGGTGGAGACATGCACCAACGGCCCTGGCCCCGTAAATTTACCCCGAAGTTCCTGCGGTGGAATTATGTACTTATTATGTACCTCACGTAAAGTTACGTAGGTTAGGTTTAGGAAAGTAAAGATTCATAAGTTAGGTTTAGGAAAAGAATCATGGTTGGGTGTCGTCACATTACATACTTAACTTAATGTTACATAGGTTAGATACAGCAAAACAAATATCTTAAAAGTGTACCTTAAAAGAACCCAGAGTTCTCTCACTTTTTATTTATCTTGATCAGATAATGAGGAAACAAGACGAGGAATCTGACAGAACATCCACTGCCAGCTTTTGCTCACTACATTCTAGTTTTTGATTTAAGGTGCGTAGGTGCATAGCCCGGCTCCAGTGGAAGCTGTGAGCACTCAGTTGGGGACTATAAAGAAACTCGACATATTGTATAGTTAACTCTGATTTGCAAGCTCCTCCATCTGGCGTGGAGTGTCATTAACAAGCAGAACTCAAGTCGTGCTACTTGCATTTGTTCACAGTGGGGTCTTAAACAGCAGTTTGGATTTGTGCAAGTTTCGATTTTGTTTCTGGCACACTGCTACTCCAAGAACTATATACACCGAGAGACTTTGCTCACTCTATTGTGAGATTTCTCAGAACGATCACACATGCTGACTTCACCAGCATGTGAAGATCACAACAGCGGACACACAAATTGTGCAAATGTATCCATGCCCTCTGGTCATCTGATGTGTGTGTTTGTGTGTTCATTGGCAAATTGAGAGTGAAGCGTAGTGAATTGCGTTGAAGTGAAGGGCAGTGAATTGCACCAAGGATCCCTGCTGTCCTTGCCTCCAGTCAGTGAGAGATCATGAGTCAGAACTGGAAATATCAAAGAAGTCGTCCTCGATGGTGCTCGGTCCTCAGAAGCCCAGTTATTGGGTGACCTCTTAATAGTGTGTGTGCATGTGTTTGTGTGTGTATGCGAAAGAGAGAGAGATCAATTAAGGGGGAAGGCGTACCGTCTTTCCCTCTTAACTGTAGCTAATTAATTCAAGTAGATAATGGCTTTACTTAAAGTCATCAAGTCGTCAGAAAATGGGTCAGTGGCAGAATTGTAGAAATAAACAACTTACGTGACTGACATATTTGGAGATGAACATTAGTTGAAAAAAATGCTTTTTTACAGGTTGGAATATAACAAGGAAAGTTATTTTCTACTTTAGAGAAAAGACTTTACTGCTGAGTCACGCTCCGTTTCTCATATTTGGTTTTAAATATGTGGGTTTGTTTTAATGTGCTGTCACTGGGAAAAAATCCGCCTAAAAGTTTGAACACTGTTAAAAAACTACTTGGGATTTGCGTTTCAGTGTCCATTTTGTTTTCCCCACGGACACCCAATTAAGTTGATGTGTATGTCACTGAGATACTTCTAGTGTTACTGCAAGTGTGTTTAATAGCAGGAGAAAAAAAATGCATATAAATGATCATTTTATAAATGTCAGATTTCAGAACCAAAGAACAAACCATCTCTAGTTTGCAGCAATGTCCCAAAATCTGTGTTTTTAAGGCTGAGAGCTCATTATTTTCAGTTTCAAATCTCTGTTTGTGGGAACAGTGTGCTCTTATAGCAGGAAGCAGAACAACTTTTAATGTCTGTTCTGTGAAAGTTAGTAAAAATTAGAATGATGAGCCTTACCAAGGATCCCTTTCATACCAGATTTCAGCTGTTGTCAGGCATTATATCAGCATCATCTCATAATATACAGTATTTCTGCACAGTTTAAAAACTGCAAGTCAGACAGTTTAAAGTACAGGGAGAGGAGGAAGGTTTGGGACTGGTCAGTGTGAAGAGGAATGGATGATAACACTTTGTACCAAATGACATCCCTGAGGATAACTCTCTTTTAACACAGTTAACTTTTCCTCCTGAACGCCAACTTCTCATTTTAAGGGCAAGTGGCTACAGGTTTAGTGATTCAGAACATTTTCCCTCAAATGCTGACAATATGAAGTGCAGACAATGGCTGTACTTGTTACTTATGAGGTACTAAAATTACTTTAAGC